CGCCATGGGGAGCCGCAGCCTCCTCGCCACCATCCTCGCCGCCGCCCTCGCCTCCCTCCCGCCGCTCCTCGCCGCCCCCTCGGGCCACCGCAAGCTCCTGGTGTTCCTGCTGGATGGCTTTCGCTTCGACTACATCGATGACAGCGAGCTGGAGGGTCTGCCGGGCTTTCGGGACATTGTGAATATGGGGGTGAAGGTGGATTACATGACCCCAGACTTCCCTAGTCTCTCCTACCCAAATTACTACACGTTGATGACGGGTGAGTACTTGCATTTCTGTACCGTGATGCTCCTCGGAGCTGCCAGCTCCCCATGACTTTTTCCTTCAAAGATGATGTGAAAATAACACAAGTCGTGCTTTTAGCTTGGAGTTTAAAAGCACTGCGGCATTGCAGCTCAGTATCGCTTGTCTGAAACCTGCTCTGAACTTTGAATCACCACTTGTAGCTGATTTTTGAAGTTCTCCTTTGTTCTCGTCTGGTGCTGCCAGGTCCCTACCTGCTGCTACTGCTGCAGCTCGGCTGCCCAGGGCTCCCAGGTGGGGGCACTGGTGGGGGCTGCTGCATGTAGAACATAAAAACGAGTGGGGAAATGCACAGAAAATTAATGTGGAGCCTGCTCACAGACTTTCCAGTTAATTAAAAGGCATGTAAACTGTGAGTGGCTAAAAGAGGAACTTATTTTCAGCCAGCAGGTCTGTTTTGGCAAATTCAGGGTTAAATTTCTTTTTAAACTTAGACTTTCTGCTTTCACAGGTCCCTGTCTTAATGTTGCCCCAAGTCCTTATATCTGTAAGATGATCTGAAATAGCTAGATAAGAAGACATTAAGGATTTTTGCTTTTGCTTCCCTACACTTTGCCTTTTTCTGACTGCCCAGGAGAGGTTTTCAGAAGATTGGGAGGACTGTCATAATTTTCATGATGCTGATTTCCTTTTACTCTAAGCAGAACAACACATGATTACAGTGATACTAGGAGGGTGCACAGAGTACAGCTGGGCCCTTCACATCAGAGAAAGCCAGCCTGGAAGCAAAATTTAATTAAAAAAAAAAATCCAAACCAATAGAAAAGTTTTTCTGGAGTTTACAACTGGATTTTTCTCCAGAGTTATTTAACAAACAAGAGCTTCCAGCTAATGAGGAGTGAAAAAATCTGTCCTCTCTGAAGATATGTGGTATCTTCTGCTGTCCTTGGAACAATACAATGCCCAGCGGTCCATATACTGCTTGCTGAGAAAGCAAATAGATGCCATTGTAAGATGAAAATCTGACATCACTTGTGCCCAGCTTGTTTTGAAACCGCTTAACCCCTTTCTCCCTCTCTTGGGAAAGGAATGCCTTTCTTTTGCTCATCTCTGAACAGGAAAGAGTACAAAACTGCCACAGGTTTGGGGTTTTTTTTATGACTTGATGCAAATGCATGAATGCAGAGCAGAGGTTGTGACCGAAAATAGAGGTGTCGCTCCACTGTGGACTTTGTTCTCTAGGTGTGTGTTCTTTAGGTGTTTGTAGGCAAACCGGCTTAACTCTTCATGAGTAAAAAGTCTTCAGATGAAGTTGTTAAAGAGAACGGGGAGAGTGACTGCTTTCTCTCCTTACCACAGTTAATCATCACTCCTATTAAGTGCATATGCATAGAGTGAATTCTATACTCAGCCTTTGGAGTTTTGAAAACATTCTATTTTGTACTCACAAAGGAGGAGTTTTGTTTTAGATGATGAAATATCACTACTAGACTTTTCACTTTTAGGGTACTAGAGTTCCTACACCCCAGCCTGAAGCAATGAGACAATCGATGACACCAAACTCAACTCTTCTTGCAAGTCTCCTGGCCTTCATGATGAGGCTCTCAATGCAAATACAACTTAATTGCAAATAACAAGTCACCCGCATAACACATGAGTCATAGCAGTGTTAAATAGGTCAGGAACCAACCGAGGACCAAGTTTAGGTGATGAACATGCCCAAAGGAAGATCCAAGACTGCACTTGGGCCCTCAGGGTGTTAGTGGACGCCGTGGCTGTGTCCTAGCATGACAACAGAGTCAATTCCATGGTTGCACTGTTCTTACTCCCAGTGCCATGGTGCAGTCTCCACAGAAAGCCAACCGTGTCCTGGGCTGCATCAAAAGAGGAGGTGTGACCAGCAGGTCGAGGGAGGTGATCCTGCCCCTCTACTCTGCTCTTGTGAGACCCCACCTGGAGTACTGTGTCCAGCTCTGGGGGCCCCAGTACAGGAGAGACATGGAGCTGTTGGAGCGAGTCCAGAGGAGGGCCACGAAGCTGATCAGAGGGCTGGAGCTCCTCTGCTATGGGGACAGGCTGAGAGAGTTGGGGTTGTTCAGCCTGTAAAAGAAGGCTCCGGGGAGATCTAATTGCGGCCTTCCAGTACCTGAAGGGGCCTACAGGAAAGAGGGTGAGGGACTGGTTGCCAGGGAGTGTAGTGACAGGACAAGGGGTAATGGGTGTAAGCTGAAGGAGGGTCGATTTAGATTAGATGTTAGAAAGACATTATTTACTGTGAGGGTGGCGAGGCACTGGAACAGGTTGCCCAGAGAAGCTGTGGATGCCCCCTCCCTGGAAGTGTTTAAGACCAGGTTGGATGAGGCTTTGGGCAACCTGGTCTAATGGAGGGTGTCCCTGCCCATGGCAGGGGGGTTGGAACTAGAAGGTCTTTGAGGTCCCTTCCAACCCAAACCATTCTATGGTTCTATGATTCTGTGTTTTACGTGATGGTAGAGTTAGGAGCATGGGGCATGTGGCAGATGTAGCATTAGCTGTGTTCAGTCTGTGTATGTTTGATTCAGAAAGCTGGGACAGCTTTTGGAAAAAATGCGGCATGGCAGGGTGACATGAGCATCGCACTATAGTGACCTGCTTAGGGACAGGCAAGTTATCGTCTCCCCATCGCTGCTGCATGGGCGTGGGAAAGCTTACATCACATCTCACTGTTCATGTATTTCTTCTTGAGGGGGGGGACAGGACTGTAACTGATTTTGCTTCTGTTTGCAGCTAGGATGTGCAGGACTTAAATGTTGCCAGAGTTTCTTCTGTGACCGGCTATTCTTCATGTCTTGTCCTGAACTGCTGCATCATGAGCTGTTAAGAAACTCACATTTCAACCTCAAATTGCCATATCTTAGCATTTATGAGTGCAGTTTCATAGTACATTGGTTTTTTTTCAGCTAAATCAGCTTAAGAAATTTCTTGCCCCACCTGCATACTCCCACCCCTGACTTTTTCATTATATCCCACCATTTTTTCAGATAAACACTCCTATCTTATCTTTATCTGCTCATTCACAAGGTCTTGTGGCCCCGCATCCCCTCAGGAGCACACACAGCTGCCAGGTCTAGGACAGCATGTGCATGAAAACACTGCGGTTGGGACGTATTTCTCCCCTGCCTCTATCCATTCGTGTGAGCATGGCCTCTCCTTTCTGCCTACCATCCTTCATCCAGCATCTGCACAAGCTTCATGACTCCAGAGAGGGGTTAGTTGTTACAGGGGATGTTCTCCCTCATTTCAGTGACTTTGGAGGATGATAGTGGGTTCTGCTCCTCAGACACCATTGCCATTGGGACAGGTCGGTCCCCTCAAATCTGAACTCACCTCCTCCTCCTGCCCAGAGCTGCAGGATGAGGTTATAGAGGTCAGCAGCATCTGCACCACCGTGTCTCAGTGCAGGTGCCAAACTGCACCCGTCAGCTCTGCCAGAAGGTAGCTTTCCTCTGCAATGGGCAACTAGCAAGCAATAGCATGCAGCGCAGCCGCCTGATGATCTGCAGCATCTTTTAGTTGTTATATTTTACTTCACTTTACTGATGTTTTCAAGAGGGCAGCCTAACTGAATTTAATATTCATGAGAAACAGCAAGTTTACTGAGCTTTTCAAAGCTATAACTGAATAGATGCCACCATAACTGATGATCAAGAACCATGGATCTAAACCCAACTAACTAATGCCTGCTAATGTGAAGCATACCCTGTTTTGCCGAGACTAGGTGCTAGTGAAGCACAGACACGGTGGGATGAATGGGGTCCAGCCTAGGTAAATAAACCAGATAGATTTTGGAAGGGAAGCGAGGGGAGGGAGATGACTCGCCTGTGGTCACGCAGTGCTACAGGGCGATGGCAGAACTCTCTGTGGGTCCCCTTCCTGCTTAAATCTGTTGCTGCTGTTAACCTACAAGAAAATATTTGCTGGAGCTTCCCTGAGTGACACAGAAAGCCTCAGCCCAAAGCCTGGGGCCTGCCTAGAGGTCTTTTCCCTCCCTCCACATCTACAGCAATTATGAGAAAGAAAACCAGAGCATGGAAACAAGACGAATGCTAATGGCTTGGCTCTGTATACTGTCACACAGTGATTCAGAGCTTGGGGAAATGCTTCTCTCTACCTGTGAGCCAGGGCATGGCATCATGGCCCTCTGCCCTAGGGCATCTCCCCGCTGCATCCACCATGCTGTCCTGGGCCATGGTGCCCTCCTCCAGCTCCCCTCGCTCAGCGGTGATAGCACCCACTGTAAAGACGCCGGGTGTCACAGCTGCCACCGAGCACCTTGCAGGGTCTCCCACCAGGGACGGTGGGTGCTCACAGCTCCACAGGAGAGCAAAGCACTATCCTGGATTAGCTGAAAGACAAATGCTGTTTCCTTGAAGACAGCTCCAAACACCAGCCAAGTCACTGCCGGACCAAGGGGAATCTCGCTGACATGCAACTGGAGAAGGTGGTTTGTTACAAAAATCTGGTGGCATGCAAGGTAGCCCAAGGATGTACCGTACCTGCTTACAATCCCACTCTTTGAAAAGCAGTCTTTTCTAACAACTTCATTCGTGCCATGGCTCTCAGTTTTGGCTTCCACAGTGGCATAAAGACTGGTTCCTGGGTGGCTGGGTTGTTTTCTGAGCTGCCAGGCTGAATCCTGCCTGATGTCCTAGCTCTCCATGCTCCAGTTATGACATTGCAGTTGTTGACTGGAAAGGCATAGCATGAAACGGTGAATTAGGTAAAAGGAGTCGTTGCTGCTGACACGTGTGTTTGAGAGAGCTTTGTGGGGCTTGACGGGGGCTTGGCAAGGGAGGGAAGAAGGAGTCCAAATATGTATATCCCAAAAGGCTCACTTAAACACACCATGTGCTGTTTGTTTTGCAAATAAAGGAATTAAGACCACAAGCCACCTCGGGTTTTTATCCTGTGGGGAGCTTTTGATTTTTACCTTTCCCTGCTGTAGCCTGGCTCTGCAGGGAGCTCTCATGCCAAGCT